ATTTTCCATTCTATTCAATGAATGGCTGTAGAAGCTGCTCTCTTTACTTATCTTTGATTAACGTCTAATAGTGCCTTTAAATACAATACTTTCTCTCCGCAGTAGCTAGAGCCTCTAAAGTTTACATTTTTCATTTCTTCGGAGCACCTTTTTCAGATAAACTTTATTTTCAATCCATGGCATTTTTCGAGAAATCAAAATTTAAAAATAAAAAGTTTGAACCCAAAAGTTTCAGGACATACAGAAAAATTGTATCTTGTTTCTCGAATTAACGTCAGGTTTTTTTTTTTTCACTAGCTAAAGTCTTCTGGTAATTTTAAACTTACTTTTGCGGGGGAACGAGGGAGATAAAGGACGTCTGTTTTGTTCTTAGGCTAGTCATTTTTCATAGTTTTTATTTCCCAAATCAGTTTGCCGAAAGATTCTGGCGTTTTATGACTTTTCTACAAAATCTCAACCGAAAAACAATATTTATAGCAAACTTTTGTCCATCGTATTTTTCAAGTTCTTCTGGTTCGACTATACAGACAAGCTGCCCCTGCCTAGGAGGACAACTTTAGAACTATATTCAATCTCTGCGGAATAAATATACTCTGTTAAGTACATCTATTCCAAAGAACGTTTTCTTCGCCAAAGGCGATAGGCGATAGGTCATTCTCGACATGGAAAAGGTTTCTTTGAATACAAAGAACATTGAATCAGTCTCACTATAAGGTCCATGTTCTTAACGAGAATCTGAAGCAGAAACACAAGTCATTCCAGCTATTCTTGGATCTCGGAATGACCTACCTCCTATCGCTTTTTGCCTATCTCCTATTTCCTTTCGCCTTTTGACGATGACAACCTTTTTTTGAAATAGGTATATACAGAGTCTTAAAGGACTGTTTCTTTGAGTTGCTTAGCATCTGGCCAGGTTTTTGGAGAGAACGGCGTTGCAACATTAAACGATCTCTTTCGTTTATCGTTGGTGACTTTGGTGTGAGCATCGCTTTTTGAAGGTAGCCTTGATAGTATGGAATGTTCTCTTCTTAAGATCAACTTAATGAAGGCACTTCGGAATTCTCTACTCACAACAGAGTATATAATAGGGTTGGCAGCAGAATTGGCTATCGTCATGATGACCATGGTGTTATAAAAAGTCCAGAAATGATGAATGGAAGGTAGAGGTTTCCAGAAAACAACAAGTAATCGAAATACACTGACTGGCAGCATTGTAACTGCAAAGGTGACAACGATAGGAGTGAGGATCTTTTTAGCGCGAGCGTTTTCATTCAGTCTTTTGTGAATCTTGTTGTTAGAGGAGCCGCCCGCTTCTCTGTCAAGGCTTTGGTGAAACAAATTGCTCATACGAATTTCCCGCCATATCCCGACGTAAGTCCATGAGATGACAGCCAACGGTAAAACATAAGAGAAGACAATTAGACTGACCGTATAGGTCGCGCTGAGGGATTTGTGAGGTGCTTTTTCCCAGGCGGGCCAACAGTGGATTTTATTGTTTTTAGTGTCTTCAAAATACGTAAAGATGAAGAAAAGAGGAAATGAAGCGATGAGGAAAGAAACTAGCCAGATCAAGAGAAGGTTACAGATGATCTGCCTTGTCGAACTACTTTCCCCATGAATACCTTTTCCTTTGACTACTATTTTTCTGTACCTCTGGAATGCAATCGACGTGATGAACCATATCGAAGCCCCATAGAAAGTGTCTACGAATGGGTAGATATAAAGGCAGACGATCCTACCAAATGGCCAGTATCCTGGGATTCTCTCTCTGACTACTGCAATTGGAAAGATGACAGTCAGCACTCCAATGTCTGCAAGCGCCAGGTTCAACAGATAATAATGCATGGACGCTCTTCCTCGAAGGCGTTTCGAAGCGATCACGATACAAACTAAAATGTTCCCTACGACACCGGCCAACGCTATGGCTGTCTCAAAAGACAGTCTTGTTATTACTAGTCCTAGTGATTCTTTGTAGTAATCTGGAATCTTTGGGACAATGGATCCGTTCTGAGATAGATTCATTTTCAATCCCGCGTCTCGTGGTGGCTAATTGTTCTTCTTCCAGGTTTCTCTTGACTTTATGTCGTATCTCCCAGCTCCTTGCTCTTAACGGCACGAGTTGTTTGGCCACGATGTACTAAGCTTCTTCACTATCTTCTGTGTAACGGAAGAACAAAAATAAACACTGTAAGTGACAGAATAGCAAAGAGCGCATAAATAACTAAAGCTAGACCTTTCGGCAGAGTAGCTCAGTACCTTCACCAACATTCTAAAAGAATGCACTGGTGGCTGCGTTCATTATTATCATTCTGTTGAAGGCAGCCGGCCATCAATGTAATCGAAACGTCTACCTAATTCATTCCCCTATTTATACACGTGAAAAAGGAATTGAATAAGGAAATTTACTTAGGCTATATAAAGTGCTGTATAGTTAAAAAACGTGATTCGACTTGCCTTATGAAGGCGTGATCATTTGAGATTCACCACATATTTTAAACAACAGTAAGCCTAACAGTGTTTGTGTTTTTATAGCTTAGCAGGGATCGATATATCGTGTCTTAGACACCAAAGGTCACACAGGATATAGTTGTAATTATAAATTTTATCTTCAAGTCACTTGAAGTATAGCTAGATTAATCTATATACTCTGTTCTTTGGTCTCTCAAACCAGACACAAAAAGCAAATATAGTTTGTCAACCGAAACGTCTTTTGAAATATTTCCTTGACGGAAACATTCGTTTCATCACATCATAAATCTACAAAAAATATAAAATAATAGTTTAATTAAGTCTATTTGTCCTAACAGATCTTTTGTTTTTGTTAATCCCAGTAGGTCTGGGCGATAAATAGTCTAGAAACACTGACGTTCAAAGGTCAAGGATACTTAAACATTGCTGGCCAAATGGTATGGTTATTACATGATATCTAACACATGAGTAGCAACTATGACTTCTGCTTGATAAAAAGAATACGAAAAGGTAAATGATAACCGACAGAGGCTATTAAATGGGCAGTTTAGGGCAGGGCGCGATTTATCGCYGTAGTCAAAGTGTCGGTAATCCATACTACCACAAAAAGCCGAATATGGGAAGAATTAATGCACTCTCTTCGCAGAATCAAAATGATATCTTCGATGCCTTCATTACCCCGATAACAGTCAGCGTTATGGATTTCATATGTCTCCTTCAGCCGAGAAGATTTCATCTCGTTAACCTTGATTCATTWTACACATTCACTTATTAAAGAATCAAGGATAATCAATTCATGCCTTAATGCGGTTGTGCTTTCCTCATTTAAGTGACGGTGATGTTTGGATATGATTATGATTATGGTATTTATATAGCGCTCTTTTCCATATGGATACAGCTATTTCAAAAAAGGTTGAATATTGAATACTGCATACTGAATAGTACATTCCAAGAACAAAGTGCATTGTGGGTCATAGTGGCATTGTCTAAAGTAGGATTAATAATAATTGTGGTCATTCGAGCCAGTGAAGGTCTAACCGTTTGCAAAGGCAGCACCTTCTCCTCAGTTATTGAAGACCCTGAGTGTTGGCTTGAACCACGATCTCCCGCACAACAGACCAACGCTCTTACCAACTGAGCTACGAATGGATACAAACTTAATCGTTAATCGTTATTCCTTTTTT